ACGAGGTCGCGGGGTTTGGCAGATTGCGAAAGGCCATTTTCGTTGTTCATAGTGTAGCGCCGGATACTTCGCCGTTCGCCTCAGCTGCTATTTTTGAATTAGTTGAATCGCAACATCTCGCTTGGGAAATCGGCCTCCGCTGCTCTTGCCGTCACGATGGTTATGTCGCGAGAGTTGTATGGCTTTGGTTACAACGGCGATACGCCCAGCCGACCAACCGGCGAGGACCTCCTCGAAGACCGCACTGTGGCCTGCGAGCCTAGTGGGGGCGGATAGCCGCCGGATGATGGAACGTACCCCCCCCCCCCCCTTCCTAACCATTGCTTGTCCCCTTGCTCGAGCCGCATGCCATCCCCGCCACACGTGGTGCAGAGTAGTTTCCCGTGAAAGCTCCATAAAATAGTCGAGGCGTTTGCTAGGGAATCGAGGGCTTGAGTACGGGATGCGGTGGCCCGACAGCGGCGAGATGCTACTTCCTCACACGCTATTGGATGGAGGCAACGTGGTTTGATTGGCGACGGTGGTAGCGACGGTGAAACTGTGTGCCCGGTCAGCCCCTCTATCACAGCTGCTGACTAAAGAGTCACGTAGCATGCAGGATAAAACCCTTCGATCAATCGCTGGAAACAATTTTTGTCTTCATTGTCTCACTCAATCACTTCCTCATCGCCATCATGTCGACAGATTCTATCATCGATTCCTTCCAGCAAGTGAATGCCAACACCTGGGTCATTGGGAAGACAATTTTGCTGAGGCGAGAAATCTCACAATCAGCCTTATCGTGGAGCGACGGTCACGGTCAATTCTTCACGATTTCTGAACCGAATGCCCCAGCGCCTCAGGGTCGAGCGATGTCCAACGTAGATGACATTCAACTTGTCCACCATATCGGTGAAAATTCAGCTGTCTGGAGAATTGGTGAGGCGTACCTCAAGGTCAAAACTGTGGAAAACCACAACGCCACGAGAGAGCATACCACTCTCGGATTCGTTCAGTCAAAAAACCCTGCGACATTCGATACACCGACTGTGATCCATCACCACGAACGCGACGGTCGGTACTTCGTTTTTCTAAGCCGCATGGCTGGAGAGACCATTGCGGAGGCCTGGTGGCACATGGACGAGAACACGAAAGATCGCCATGTTGGCATGGTGATTGACGCATGCAAAGAGCTGGCTTCATGGAAGGGCAGTGCTATCAGTGGTGTTGATGGTCTTCACCTCTCTGAGGAACGTCTTACCGGTGGAAACCGAACGAAGACCAGCCCTGAGTCCCTTCTGGAGAATTGCAAAGCGATGGGAATGGATTGCTCCGTTTTTTTGTTTTTTCACTGCGACATGGGCCCCGGGAACGTGATTGTCAATCGAGCGAATGGACGAACTTGTATTATTGATTGGGAAACAGCTGGCTATGTTCCGAAGGAGTGGATAAGAACGAAATTTCGTATTTCAATGGGCCTGAATCTGCCTGGCCGAGACGATGACTCAAAGAATGACTGGAGGCGACGCATCCAGCAACAGCTGGGTAATGAAGGATTTGCTGATGTTGCTGACGCGTGGATGATGTGGTCGAAGTCCAAAGGACAGGCATGATGCGCGGTACGAACTTGATGCCATCGAGGTTATCTTCTGGTGCCCATAATAGCTACTGGCTTTGTTAATCACAGATTGAATCAGAGACAGATAATGACTGACTGAGACAAGTCTTCAAACAGTTTGCGAAAGGGCAGTGCCACACTTTTCACAAGTGTCTCTGCCAGACATATTGTTGAAGCCGCAGCCCTGTTTTGGGCATTTGGCTCCGTCGACCAGCTCTTCGCGAATCGTAGCTGCCATTTTTTCTGTGAGGTTTTCGATGCGGTCAGGACTCAAATTTGACGTGGTATCACCTTTATTCAAGCGATTTGCAACCTCTGTTTTGGCGCGGTCGACGACTTCTTTTGTAGCAGATTACTATGCAAGAGATGCTGGGGTCGCGACCGGCTAGTGACGGCATCTCATGGCCGAAGGTGGCCTATCTCTCCCCTTTTCACTATCACTTTCCCACTCCTGGTTGGAAAACTTGCCGTCACGCACCACCAACACAAGCATGGTTCTTCTTTCCCCGCTTTGGGTGAAGTATGGCGTGCGAGATGGTTGGACGATGGACCCTGCAGGCAAGCCATCCCTGCTGTGTGTCTACCGTACTTTTCCTTGCAAGAGGCTTACTCTCGAGGCAAGATGACGCTAGACAAGCCAGTAGGATTTGGAACGTGAATTCGCCATCCTGCACATGGCTAACCCCATTCCCAACTTTGATGGCTGCAGATAGTGGTTGTTATCGAGTGCGGATATGTGGCATGAGTGATCCCATCGGCGGTCATCGACTGTTGTGTGGCAGAACTTGTATTCGGAAATTACATGAGTTTCGTGGCTCTTTGGGCTGCATAGGCGTGCAGGTCCGTTCTTTTCGAGAATAAATGGGGCAATACCTCCGCAAGGTCTGCACCGGCTGAATATCATGCCATCCGCTCTGATTGATGTCGCATGTGGGCCAATAGTGATTTTATCACTCAGTATACTAGCCTACGTTTAGTTCCCGCGCTGCCAACCAGTTCTCGCCATCAAGTGGCTGGGTCGAGGCTCAGAAACGTTGCATGAATTCGGGGCAGAGCAACTAGACGCACTATGCACCACATACTATCTATTGTCGTTGCCGGACCTTGTTGCATGCTGCTAATCAATAAAATTACTCCGAACCTGTTCTAATGGAAAAGTAGCGAGAAAGGTAATTGGGAAGTTCCAGATCTTGGCCAGTGGGTTATTGTATTGGGCGCCTCTGGCTAGTAATTGCGGGTAGAATCGAAGTACGTTGTAGCGAAGCTTGATGAAGCCTCAGACATGAATCCCGCCCTTCAAAGATCTATTCTCAAAAGCCCTGCGTCGAGGACTACGAGCGAAGATTAATCACTTAGTGTTATAGAGGCTCAAGAGCCGCACAGTGATGCGTCTGGCGTTCGGCCCAGATCTCTAGTGAACGCTATATCTTCGATGGGGCTGAGGATGAATAATCTACTATAGGCCTCCAAATACACCAACTGGGTATGACGAGCATTCAAGACTGACTACATGACCGGGCATGTCAAGTCCCCAGATGCTGTCATGCGCGACTGGGTCCCAATACCAGACAATTGCCCCAAACGATGCGAGAGCAGGACTTCCCGCATGCATGCTTTGATCGGTACCTTCTCCAGGCGAGGCGTCGTCCCCGTCCCATCAAGTGCGATACAGGAGTTCCAAGCAATGTTTATGTTGCTCAGGTGGCAGGTCGAAGGCGGTGCTGACGGCGTCTAGCTTTGGTGCGATCGTATATTGTACCCACGCGAGACAAAAGTCGGCCCAAGTGATGCTGAAGCCACTGGTACGGCTGTCGACTTGGCAGTGGCCATCCACAGACGCTGTGGGCTCGTCTCCTGGGTCAGCATTGTTCGTCTGCCGGCACAGGCACACGTGGCAGTACACAATCGAGAGAATTTGGATGCTGAAGAGCACAACCTAATTGTCATTAGCGCGCGTTCGGAAGGACGACGGAGCACTTGCCGTTGATGCAGGCGTGATATCCAGGATGGACGACAACACGGGCGCGCCGACGTACAGTGCCATCATGAGTCTGAGTTGACCGTATTTCGAGCTGAGTCCTGCGTAGAGAGGCGATCCCGAATAGGCTCCAAGGAAGGGGAGGTCGAGAACGCCGACGCTGAGGACGAGGGCACGGATAAGCCGCGCGTGCGGAGGGTACCGGGCGGCCAGGTGCATGGCCAGCACCAGCGTCACGCTTCCGGTGGCGACTATGCAGGCGGCACGGAGAGCCCCTTCAAACCCTGAGGACGTGAATGAATCAGCATGCTGCGGGTGCCAATAAGGTCAGAGGCTGCGCATACCGGGGATGCCTCTGTGCTTCATGTTGGGGCAGACGACCAAGACCACGGAGAAGAAGGGCAAGCACAAGTGCGATGGCTGAGATGCGTATGGCCAGAATGGTGACAGACATGGACGCAGTGTTTGTTGGACCCTCTGCGCAGTCAGCGGATCAGTCTGTCGAACGTCCAACGTCGAACGTCGACAAAGGGGCAACACATAAGTAGGAGAACTGTGTCGGTTATGGCCATCTGTTGGGGCGGCATCGTCGGGCAAGTGGCCGTCTGCAGGCGGTGAGCGTGTTGTTGACGCCAATCAGGGCGTGCGGCATCCGAAGACATTCCCCGTCTTCTCCATGGCGGTGATCGTCGGAAAGGCCGCCCGTTCGGGGGTCGTCGTGCGTCAGGGGAGCTCGACGTGGGCTGAAAAGCAATAATGGGACAGCCAACACCACGAATGGCCCGACACGTCAAGATGGGCGCCGTGCCGGCCGTCGTGGTGCGCAGTCGACCCCGGGGCTGATGCCCTGGCTCGTTCCGTTGGCGTCTTGCGCCTGCCGACGTTGGCACGTCGTTGAAATGGCCAATGATCGGCGCGCCAGGGATCGGCGCCATCTGGGCGTAATTCGACGCCGCAGTTGGGCCCACCGACATGGAAGCGGAGGGCTGATAGACCAACACCGGCTGCGAGAGCGACCCTGCCCCCTCCCTGTGCGGGCTGGCCAGGGGGGCGTGTCGGCGTGCGAGGTGACTCCAGGCTTCTGCAGTTGTGCTGGCACACCCCTGCACCACCGTCCCATGCCCCTGCTCATGGCGCGCACGCCCCTCGCGCTAGCGCCACGCAGCGACGCACCCGCGCGGCGCTCGCTACATCCAGGTACTCGTCGGCCCCTGCTCCGGTACGCCGTTCCCTGCCATCCGCGGGGCGGCGCAACGTCTGCGAGGCGACCGCGACAGGCCCGGCAACGACGCCAGCGAACAGCGCAGCGACGAGTGATGTCTGAATATGCGACCCCCGGATGATGATGGCCAACGCTGCGAGCATAAAGGAGCGACTTGGCGAGACACGGAGGGTTCAGACACGGCACGCTGAAGACACGGCATCATGGCCGTGAAACTGTCTGACCTCAACGCGAACCCGTTCCGGGCGGCTGCGAGCGCCGCAGAGACTCTCATCGTCGACGAACTCCCCTCGGAAGCAACCCTGCGTCTCAAATTCGACCACCTTGTTACCATCATTATTGCACTGCAGACTACGCCCTGCACTGGCTCGCGAGATCATCCGGACGAAAACGCGCTGCGTCGTCTCATCAGACGTGCTACCAATCTTCAAAACCTCTGCATCATCCAGCAAATCGCCCCAGAAGACTCTGAGAAGGCTTCTGATCGTTCTCTTCTCGGCGACCGGCCCGGCGTGGACATCAAATACATCCCCGCACACGATCTGGCGGCGGCCTTCGCGCGTTCCCCCCCAGGTCTCGCCAGCCAAAGCTGCCGTAGAAAGCTGGGCCGCAACGGTCGCCTCTGCGTGCGAGGTTCGGCCGCGCTCGCCTCTCGTTGAAGCGTATATGGAGCTGCCTGACGCAGCTCTGGGAGTCTACGAGGAAAGGTATTTTTTGGTCCATCCTCGCTCTGCACCGTTGCCCGCACGTCTGCTGACCGATCCGCAAAGCGTGGGTATACGCTGTCTTGGACTTCGGAGCCGACATCTGTCCTTCGACAGACATGACACGGGCAGACTGGCGATTGACTGATGGGCATCCACGAGATCCGTACCGGGACCGGACCGGTCACAAGTGGACCTTGGGAGTTGGAGGCCTGCATCTTGGAGATGGTGCATCTTCTTTCAAGCGTCCAGAGACAACGCTTTCGAACAATTGAAATTGGGGCGCTTGAAGGAGTCGAAAACTCGGGAAAAGCTGAGAATCCGGAGTTGAAGAGTAGCGCATGGGTCGAGACCTTTCACTCTTGTTATGCCATTATTTTTCATGGACAGCCCACCTTGATAACAAGAAACACCAAGTTGTCCCATGCATGGCGTGGCTGGCACCCTCATTCTGACGCGTAGCCAAGCCTCGGTGAGAGTCTGGCTGCTGGTGAATAAAGTCCCAATAGGAATTGCGTACTGGCCAAGGATCACAGGTTGCGGCCATGCACGAGTCATCCAGCTCTCACGTCTCCCGCATGGCAATAAGAAAGCCCGAGACTGGCTTGAAGAGTCGATCATGGCGAAAACAAGGCGGCAAGGCATACTCTTCGGCCCCGGGAAGGGCTGGGTGCTCTCGCTATCCATCGTCAAGGCTCTGGGCTGGGAAGGGCGATGTACGTGGTGCCAGCTGATGACCAGGCAAGGACTTGGCCATACGTGGAGAAAGACCACCGCCCCACGACCCGTGTACGGGATCAGCTCCATAGCAACCTTGAACAGGCGCTACTAGGCAGAAGCAAGGCACGTTGCAGCAGGCTTTTGCCCGGTATTAGCTACCCCGGCCGAGCTGTCCTAGCCGAAGCTCTACTCGCACAGGGAAGGGCTCGCAAATTCATGCTCCCGCCTGGAGAGATTGGTGTGAATGCACGTACTGCAATGCCTCACCAAGCCGATGAGCATATAAGGCCATGCTAGCCTGGTGCTTGTCACCGACTGTGACACCCGGTCCTTGATGACCAACACGACGACGCCATGCCCACCGAGCGCTCGCCTCTGCTTCCCCACAGCGCCAGCCACAGACCAGCGTCCTCCGCCTTCGGGGGCTTCTACAAAGCCTGGCACGAAGCCAAAGCCATTATGTCGAGCAGTACGTCCCACGCCCCTCCGTCATCTCACCGAGTTGCTGACATAGGGTGCACTTAGATCATCTTCACTGGCTCCTCGCCATCGTCCCTTTTGCCATCACTGCGCCCAACCGCAGCTGGAGCCCGGTTAAAGTCTTCGCCACGAACTTCTTTGCCATCATGCCTCTGAGTGCCGTTTTGTCGCTTGCAATCGAACGAATCTCGATGAACTTGGGCGCAGAACCAAAGGAGATGCTGAGAGCCACTTCGGGCAATGCTGTCGAGTTCGTTGTGGGCATTCTCGCTCTGAAGCACGACCTTTTCACTTTGGCCCGGTCGATAGTCCTCGGCTCTATCCTGTTCAGCCTGCTTCCTAACATGGGTTTATGCTTCTTCTTGGGCGGCATCGCCAATATGCGCGACAGAGTCACGGTTTTGGGCTCTGAACAGTGCTTCCCCCAAGGCACGGCGCAGACTATATGCACCGTGATAGCTGTGCCGATGACGTCGGTCGCCATGTCTGCCATTGTGAGTTCTCTGGTGATTGAACGCTTTAACCTTCGTCTGACACCAAGTGCCAGCTCTCTTCAGAGTTTGGCGATGAGCACCCCGCAAAGAGGGACCAGAGCATCCTCGCGTTTTCTCGAGGTGCCGCTATTATCTTCCTGCTTCTATACGTCACGTATCACTGGTTCAAGTCCCGCACACACTCCGATCTTTTCTGCGACGAGACTCCGCCTGACGAGACCGAGGACTCCGTCATCAGTATCGTTGCCGCAACCGCCGTTCTCGCCATCACGGTTGCCCTCGCGGTCGTCTGCGCCGATAACCTGGTCGGAAGCATCAACCCATTCGCCGAGGTCACGCATGTAGGGCCAGACTTTATTGGTTTCTTTCTTGTTCCCATTGCCATTAATGCGGCAAAAGCTTCGGCCGCGGTTGGAAAAGCTACGCGTAACAGGATGGATCTCGCGATGGACATCATCCTCAACTCCATCACGGAGACCGGGCTTCTCGTCGCCCCTTGCCTCGTCATTCTTACATGGGCTTTATTCCACAAATCCATGACCCTGCAGTTTGAGCTCGTACCGACCGTCACCTACGTCTTCGCCACGTTAGCTGCAGCTGTTGTCGTCAGAGATGGCCGGTCTAACTATCTGGAAGGTGCTTTGCTGCTCGGGTTTTATGTCATCATAGGCCTAGCTGTATTCTTCGGTCCTGTAGATGGCTGAGAGGTATGCTGATAGAAGCTTTGGGAGCCGAACCCATGACTTGTCGGAGAGGTCGACTTGCTGTTTGGCCGTGTGTGGCGTCAGTCCCTGATGTCGGCTCAGCTGATAACCACGAAACTCCTGTGATAATGTTGGGTAGAAACTAGCCCACGCAGGCATAAGAAGCGAGAGAAATCACAAGGAAGACAAAAAGACGGCAAGGGGTACTGAATATGTGGATTAATTGGTCACCCTTCTTTTCAGCAATCATTAGCAGCTCTGCTGTTCATTTCCCAACCGCCCTCACTTCTATGTCCTGCTGTGCTTCGAGAAGGATGTCCTTCATCAAGGAGTAGAGCCCAGGATCTGAACTGTCCCTCTTCCAACCCTTAGCGAATACCTTACTCCGCAGTTTGTTGACCCATGGGACTAAGGGCTGGTAGTACAAAGTGAAGTTCTCAGTAGCTCTTTGCTGGAAATACTCATCATCACCAACAATGCCCATTTTGAGTTCAGCCAACGTGTTGTCATTCTCGTAATTCCACCTATCAAACTCCGTTGGCCCAACATCTTTACCATCCCCGTCGTAATGAACGCATATCCAGAACAGGACCCAGAAGAACGACTCTAGGTCATGCATGAACGAATGCTGCTCGCCTAGCAACGCCCCGATTGCCATGAAGGCCCTTGTGCCGGTCTTTCCCTTGGCACCTGAAGCACCCTCTCGTTGCTCTCGAATAGCGAGGTCAAGGTCGATCAAGAACGCAGGCCAGGATGGGTTGCCACTGTCCTCATTGATCATGAGATTGTTGATGGATATATCTCTGTGGAGAATGCCTGCCTTGTACAAAGACTCGTGGCCCTCAATGCAGCCCACCAGGGCAGCAAGTAGTGCTGATCGAGAGCTCGCCTTGTAGATAGGCTTACCATAATCCCGGAGAATGATACGTCGATGAACCCGATTTGGTGGTATGATTAGTTAGAGAATAATTGGCAGTTGCGTCTTTCCTACCGTCCGGCTTGAGGTGGTCCACTGCTTGCAGCTCGCAAGTAGGGTCTCTGTTAGTCGATTTGAACGCATCCAAAAAAGCAGAAAGACCGCTGCCGATAGGGTTTCCCTTGATAATGTTTGAATCAGAGTGCTCTTCCATTGTAGGTGGGGTGCTGCTAAACGTGATGTTTAGATGACGGCTTTGCATCAGCAGTCGCGTCGCGGTGAGGTCGTCGCGCTACGCATTGACCACTCACCAAGCTGGGAGAACGTTGTTCCGATGACTGGCTGTGAGATCGATGCGGGACGATCGACCGGTCTCAGGGCGGAACAGCTGCATGCGATTTAGCATACAAAAACCCAACCAACAGTTAGAGGCAAATCCTGCCTCATCGTTGTACCTGTCAAGGAGAACAGGCAATTCACGCCACGTCCTGGTTGAGCCTGCTCGAAAATTTATCCGATGCGATGCTAGAACAACGTGCTTTGTCAATCATATTCTCACCACGTGCTACCCATGGTGAACGTCATCTGTATCGTTACTAGCACCGCGAAAAGACGAATCTAGGCAGACAGAGCAACCTGAAATTGTGTATACCTTGCTATGGTCGTGAGAACCTGCAACAAGCTGCCAAGTTTAAGTATATATAGGCACCCGCGTAACACAATCAGAAACCGTCCCAATATTTCTGCAACCCCGCATTCTTTGCAGCAATGCCGAATCAACCAAGCCATCTCATTCCTCGCAACTACTACTCACGGCAGGTGACCGACGATGTCCCCATAACTTCCGGCGTGGACTGGTTGTGAAGTCGGTTTGTTGTCGCCACGAATACGACCACTCTTGTTTGGAGGCTCTCCATCCGCACCCGCCAGCTCCTCCGCCCCGGCAACCTGCTCCACGTCGACTGAGCCCCCGAGGTAGCGGTGTTTCCTCTTAACGGGTATGGCAATGGACTTGACGTGCTTCTGACGTCCGCCACGGGTAGCCCAGTAGTCATCAACAAGCTCGCGCGCGTTCTGCAAGACTTGATCCTCGGGCTCCCACGTACGCTCATGTGATCCGACCCAGGCGACATGCAGCTTCACAGTACCGGTAGCCTCCTGTTTGTGTTTCTCGACCTTGAGCACGTGCCAAAGATTTATGTCGACCATAGCGCCTTCGCGACCGCCCTCTACGGTGTCCCAGTATGCAAAGAGTGCTTCCTCCGCATCCTCTTGGATGCTTGACTCGGGTTCCCACGTCGGCTTACCGTGCATCCAGCACACTCGCATCTGGAAGAGGGTGGGATCATCAGGGTCGCATTGATGACCAACGATGGCTTCGATGACGAAGATGCCGTTCTCAGGGTCGTCCGCATCATCCTTGGCATCAGCAGCATCCGCGGGTTGAATGGAGTCGGTGGTGTCTCTATTTTCGATGGCGATGGCAACGGTGATCTCGGCCCCATCTGTGGCTGGGGTGGCAACTGTGGCAACTGTGGCAACTGTATGTTAGCTTTGATTTCCTCGCGCAATGTGGAGTGTCCCCTACCATGAACCGCCTCGTCCTGTCGGTCAGATGGCTCAGACAGGTAGCCATCCTTCGCCTCGACAGCGGCGTCGGTACGGCTAAGGTCCTTTCCAGCCTTCTCCTTGCTCGCTGAGGTAGTCGTGCCTGTGCCGCCAGGACTACTCGTCGGGGTCTTCTAGACAGGTGACGGCAGACTGGGGCGCAGGTCAACTGACTCAGGTGTGCGAGCGGTCTCAGTATCGGGAGTAGGACCCATGACGGCTGTGGGTGCCGCAAGCGGGAATGTAGCTTTTGAAGAAGGTGCCTCGGGGACGGGATCGGGAGTGTCGGAGCTTCCTAAAGAAATAGAAAGCGAGACGCCTGAGTGTTGGGGAATTTGCGGCGCTCTCACGTGGTCGGTAAGGAAGGATGTGGTGGACGGCTTTGAGGTCCCTTGGAGACGGGGTATGTGCGTGTAAGGAAGGAACAAATTGCGATGGTCAGTGAGGGTCGAGGCAAAAGTGCGGAACCGACTCGGAGTATTTGTGGTGACGGATATATAATAGTCCGCTGGGATCACCTTACGTCACGGTAAGAGGGCTGGAGAGACTCTTGCCCTCTCATTGGTCAGATTCTGCCGCACATGGCCTGGGCGGTGAGCTCGGCAGTATCCCCACAGATACAGAAACGTACGGCCAAGTCGTGATAACACCAGCTAGCAGCATCAGCAAAATGACGGCCAACTAGAACGGACACAACACCATATGTTAGATTCGGGTGGAATTTCAACATAATCGACCACCCTTAGCCGCATCTTTCCTTAAGAACCGAGTCAACCTGATCGAAAATTAGGGCAAGGCGCTTCCTTTGGGGATAAGAAAGGCCAAAAAGGCGAGGATGAAGTGGTGGGCTCTACATCAGTCTGGTAGTTGAATCGACGCATCGAAGATCTCAAGCCTACGGGATGAGTGGATACAGGTAGATCCGTCCAGGCTGTCGGAGCCACGGATGGCCCGCAAGGTTGCCACGATTGACCAAAGGCCATCTCTCGAAAGCCAGGTACGGCCTATCAGCGTTACAGATGCGCCAGGCGAACTGGCGTAAAGACGGACGGAAAGTTGTCGCTTCATCGGTGAATACCAACGGCACAGGAGAATGCAGGGTGATTCAAGATGAACTCGCGCCCGTTCCCTCGAGCGGTCTGACTTGCGTATCGTTCCATCATCAGAATGCAGTCAGGTATGCTTTGTGAGCTTCGGGACGTCTCAGGTAGTTCCTAGCGAACGTTGGATGTCGGTAATACCCTTGAAGACGCATCTTGGTCGATTAACCAACTGCCCCCGACAGTGGAGACCTCGACAACCTAGAAGACGGGTTCGCAAGGCAAGGCAAACCTAGATCTATTGTAATCAATTGCCGCGTGGCACGTCTTCAGTGGGCATGTTCCAAGCGCCGTATTTCAGGACGGTCTTCTGTGCTGAACAAGTGACCGGGCTTCTGCTCCACAGGAGCTGCCATGCCATTAGTGCGAACTGATTTAGATATATTGAGGGTGCCTGCTCTGGAATTCTGTTCAAGGCTGAGGTGTAAGGGTCTAGGACAAGGTCGGTGCCATTGGTCTAGCCTACTACTACGAGCATTCCAAGCTGGAGGATAGAAGAACCATTCTGGGAAAGAGTGGTGCCCTTCTCATCTTTAAATACATGTGAGTCTTCTTCCAGAAGCT